GGAAGTCATATTTATTCTTTAACCACCCCAGAATATGTTGCTTTCCCAGTGGATTGTACAGCATACATGGACAATTAAGACAAAAATTCGTAATCAAGCTGACTGGTGGGTTGTGTAGATTAATGGGTTGGGCAACTACCGTTTCGAAGGCTGGAGCCCATCTCGCCAAAAATGCCTTTGATGAAAATTTGTACTCCAAAGTCAACAACGTGGCTTATGTTGATCAGGGAGACATCACTAGGTCCTCAGACGAATCCTACAATGAAAAAAGGGAACAAAAGTTGTGGAACGAACTTCTGAAGAGTGTAGCTACTGGTGAAAAAAAGTGAGAATTGTTGCAAAGTGCCGCGAATTGGCTGCAAATTGATTGTGGAAAGACGCCCAAGATACAAGTATGACAATAATATGACAGTAATATGACAGTAATATGAACTCAAATCTTCTGAACCTCACTTCGTATTTTTATATTTTTACATAAATTTATTATTCAGTTCACTTCACTGCTCTCTCTTCCGCACCCAACCATCCCACGCGATACTCACACGAAAGTCACGCGCCAAAACTTTTCAATACAAATCGCGATTCCCACAAAGTAGCGAACAAGTGTTGTGCACCTGCCATGGCATACACAGAACAGCTAGACACGTTCGTGTCGAGGCTCAAAGATAGCAGCGATCTCAAGGATTCCCAAGGAGTTCTTCTGGAACTTCTAGACATGATTGAGACGTTCAATGGTGCTGCGGAGTACGAATACTTTTTGTCCAATTTGGTACCGATTTTTATGGAGAAATTGGATCAAGTTCCCATCACTTTTGTGAGCCAGTCGCCAGAGCACAAGGTGAGAAACACCATATTGGAAATCATCCATCGCTCAATCATGAACGATACGTTTCAACCGTATGCGGAACAAATTCTCGAAACATTGACAAAGATTGTTGTTGAAGAAAACGAAGAAAACGGTGTAGTATGTATGAAGATTATCACCAGTCTTCACAAAGCATTCAAGGCGACACTTTCAGGCAAAGTTGAGGGCTTCATCACCGTCATCAATACCATTTACGATAACATGCCCGAGACGGTTTCCACCAGATTTGCTGCCAACAACTCTGAAGAAGCATCAGAGAACGACCAGGCAAAGGAAATGTCGCCTCCTTCTTTCAACGACGAAACTGCTCCACCCAAGGAACTTGCTAATGCCATGTACTCATTCAAAACTTTGGCAGAGTGTCCCATAACCATGGTTTCTCTTTACTCTTCGTACAAGAGTTTAGTACAGACTTCGCTTCCCGAATTTCTTCCTAAAACGATTAGCATTTTGGCACTCCAGGTTGAGCAACAGAAGCAGTTCCATGAAGAAGCAGCAGACCAGAATACCGTGGTGACATCCGTCAGTCCTAACATAACCAACAGACAGCTCTACAGTGACTTCATTTTGGGACAGGTCAAGGCGGCTTCTTTCTTAGCATACGTTTTTATCAGAGGGTATGCTAATCAATTTTTAGCACCAGAACAAGCAAACAGCGTCCCAGAAGTCATATTAAGATTACTACAAGACTGCCCTGCTGAACTTTCTGTGGCCAGAAAAGAGCTTTTACACGCAACCCGGCACATACTTTCCACCCCTTTCAGATCCCACTTCATTCCAAAGATCGAGCTTCTTTTCAACGAACAGGTTTTGGTAGGTAGCGGCTTGACTTCCCACGAGACTCTTAGACCTTTAGCGTATTCTACAGTTGCTGATTTCATTCACAACGTACGCAATGAACTCACGCCAAAACAGATATGGTCTACTGTCAAGATTTACTGCGATCTTCTCAAAGACGACTCGCTTGCTTTGACGGTTCAAATCATGAGTGCCAAATTACTTTTGAACTTGGTAGAGCGTATCATGAAATTGCCCAATAAACTTGAAGGCAGACAGCTATTCATGATAATCATCGACTCTTACGCCAAAAGGTTTGAAAGCTTGAACAGGAAGCATAACTTCATTTTGGCAAAACACAAGGAGTTTGAGAAAAAGAAGAGTTTGAAGGAAATCGAGTCGAAGAAGGCTATCGATAGATACACCTCGAAAACATCAGACGTTTTGGACAGAACTCCGGAAGCTGCAGAAACCTCAAAACCTCGTTCAATAGCGGAAGATTCTGATGGAGACATAGACATGGATTCAACCAACATCACACCAGAGGAAAGACAGATAGACATATTCACGTTAGAGGAGCTTTCACCTATTGCGATGACTTCAACCACATCTACTTCAAACACAGACTTACTAAAGGATGCAAGATACCTTTTCCGAACATTAATGACCTTCCTTAAATCAGGTTATCTTTGGCTTAAAGAACTGTAACCCACCAGTTCCACCTCAACCGACACAATCAGACCCCAAAATTGGGGGCCAAACTATCAACTATGATAAGTGGAACGACTCAGCGAGACTCACCTCGTACGAAGAGATAATAATCTTCAGAGGCTTGTTCCGTGGAGGAATCAGCTGTCTCAAGTTCTTTTCTGTCTCCAAGCCAAAGCTCAATGCATCGCAGAATAAATCGTTTGACTTTTCAACTGGTGGTCCCAATCTCCCAATCACATCTTCTAAAGAGGAGAAAGACTTGATGGAGATTTTCGCTACCATCTTCATCCACGTTGATCCAGCTTCTTTCAACGAAATTGTCAGCAGTGAACTTCCTTTTATGTTCGAGTCAATGTTGGAAAATGCCGCCTTACTTCACCTACCACAGTTCTTCCTCGCAAGCGAGGTAACCTCTGCCAATTTCTCGGGAATCTTAATT